TGGTGCTCCCTCGTCGCCGTCAGCGAAGCGCGCACACCCACACCCCACACGCTGAGGTGGGACGGAGTCGCGCCCCGCCACCCGGCTGGGGGCGAAGCGGAGCCCTCCTGCAGGGCAGCGCCCTGTGAAGGGCCCCCCGAGACCCTGGCCACGGTGGCTCTGACCCGGGGTTTGGCCGCGTTCCAGGGCGGAGGAGGGCGGGAGCAGCGGTGTGCTGCCCGCTCCTGGCGCCGGGAGCCCCCGGGGTGATGTCCCCCCCGGGATGATGTCCCCCGGGGATGATGTCCCCCCGGGATGATGTCCCCCCGGGATGATGTCCCCCCGGGATGATGCCCCCCGGGGTGATGTCCCCCCGGGGTGATGTCCCCCCCGGGGTGATGTCCCCCGGGGTGATGCCCCCCAGGGTGATGTCCCCCCAGGGTGATGCTCCCCGGAAGGTGCCCCGGGTCGCCCTCGGCGGGGCGGTTCTGGACGGGCGCTCTGGGGACACGTCCCCGGTGACGGGAGGCAGCTGCGCCTTGGCAATGCAGACGGAGAGGTTGGTGTGGGGGTCCCCGAACTGAGCACCCCGCGCTTGCCGCAGGGGTTTGGGTAGGCGCCGCTCTCACCGCCTCCTGCGGGCAGCAATGGCTTTAGTTTGTGTTGGGTGAGCGCAGGCTGTGTGTGTTCAGCATTGCAGCACTCTCACCTTATTCTGGTCTGCACGAATCATCATTTGGTGTGCTCATACACTGCCAAAGTGACACGTTGTGGAAAAACATCCAACAACCTGTTAGTTAGTGGTAATGTTGCTTGAAATTACAAATCTCAGAAAATTTGTTTCTCCAGCTAATGAAAAAAGCACATACACTTAGCAGTGCATAACATTCAGAGATAGTTATTTGCAATTTGGTGTTTAATAACTTCAAACTCTTCCCTGTTACACAGTTGTACAGGAAAATGTGGAAATAGGGATGTTTAGCTAGAATCTTTCCCCATATAAGTGGGATTGGGTCATTTATCTGAAAATTTCAGATTACTCCTACAGTTTAGTATCTTCACATGTTTCAGTCTGCCTGGGTTTATTAATCTCTTGCATGAACGCATACGTGGAAATGCATAAGTGTGGGAGGTTTTCAATGGAGGTATGTTGAAGCATATTTAGAGCAGGTTTATAGCTGATACCTGCCCTTTTACTGTATCAGCCATATTACTTGTCTTGATTTAATTAGCAAGTCCATTTTGAATTTGAAATACATGGCAATTTCTCCCATGAGTCTTTCCAGTCTAAGATAATCATCTTAACAGTAAGAAATAACATTAGGAAAATGTTTATTGCATTAAGGAAATCAACAAAATTGCATTTCAAATTAAAAGCAGCAAATATAATTTTGAATTGAAAGCAAGTTTAAAATGTAAAACTTGTAAAATATTTGAACCCCTGCCCTAATTATCTCTTTTTTTCTTTCCCTTCTCTTTGCAGATGTGAGAGAGGTCAGTATAATTTTTTTATCTAAAACGTAACGCTCCAATTAACAGGCTAGGCTATTCTTGTGGCAGTATTATCTTCTAACATTCATTCCCAAGATGGTCATGGAAAAGTGATGATCGAATCCTGAAGGCACTGCCTGGAAAGGTACCCACCCCAATTTCACAAGTGGGACGGCCTTTTTGAGAGACTGCCTTCATAGGTGTAGAGACCATGAGGAGAAAGTAAAGGAGCAGTGCTGTTTGGACATTGTACCTGGAAGTTTGGATTGAAGATGACTCTACTTTAAAACCAGTTTTACACTCTAAATTTCTTGCACATTAGGATTATGAAAGAGCTCAGGTGTGACTTCTTTTTTTTCAATTCTAATACTTTAGATTGCTTTATTATAGCTGCAGAATTGTCAGTCTTCAGCACAACGTTTTAATATAGTTACATTCATCTTTGCAATATATAACCTCCTAGCCTTCAAAGTAATTTTAAGTCATAGGGGATAGTTAAATATATTGGACTGAGAAAACGTGTAGGTATGTAAGAAAACATGTCTAAGTTTATGCATTATTTTGGTTAAAAATACTGGCAGAAATTGTAACTCATTTTTTGAAATTCTCTTCCTTATATTTTTCCAGGCACCTGCAGGGCGCAAGGTAAGCATTCTTATTTTTCTTATGTGAATATGAAGATGTATCTGGCAGTCTTCAGCAGATTAATGTTTTCTTGACTATTGGATGAAAGGAAAATCGACTACATTGCTTATTTTCAGTGTTCTCTGAAAATACCAGTAGCGCTGAGATGAATAGGTAGGAAAAAAGGAAGGAATGATCAACGCAGCATTTTAACACCAGGGTAAATTCAAGTACTGAATTAAAGGTGCTTTACCTGTGAGCAGAACTAAGCCTACCAAAACCTAAATGGCATCAAAGCATCATTCTTATTTAAACAGAGCTCCTCTATAAAGATTTATGTGGATTGAATAGTACAACAGTATCGATACAGGTCTAAAAGACTAAATTGATTCTATATTATTTTTAAAAGTCACTACTGTTATATTAGAATTAGTTATTCAGTAGAAACAAACCAAAATTTTGCAAGTACTTCTTTGGTCCATGCAATGACACTTTTAATTCACACAACAGTGGCAGTGGCTAATCTATTTCCAGTACATTATTGTGGACAATAATGCACTGACTGTGAAAAATAGCTGTTGGACCTCTATATGCAGCCTTCTTTTCCTTTTTAATGTGCACTAATTATCCTTAATCTATCTGTTTCCCTGTATTGTCCTGGAAAATTTCCACAGTAACTCATTGAGTGTTGTTTTCTTCCGGCAGGGCCCTAGAGGCGACAAAGGGCCTCAGGGAGAAAGGGTAAGGAATTTGATTGACATTTACTTGTGATCTTTGAACAGTTGTTGTTGGAAGACCAGTAGGAAAAAACTAAGTTTAAGCATTGCTGTGGGATTAAATGATTGTACCTGTAAAAGCTTGCATTTACAGTTTTATTAAAAAAAGAAACCGAGTTACCTGTGTAGCAAATTCAGCCCAGTTATGTTCAGTCTGCCTGAGCAGATGTGGTTGAGATCATAGGGCAGCCTAGCTGTTCAAGTGGTGATTTGAAAAATGTTTTTCCAGCTGCTCACAGTGGAAATAATGCATAGAAATGCAGAGGGAAAAGTTGACATGCAAAAATGTAATCTTTGAATAATATAGTGTATGGGTAAGCTCTCTACATAAAACCTGAATAGACTAAGCCAGTTTTGAAGATAATTCATTATTTGTGCCTCCAACAATGTTTTGGAAAAGCTCTTTTCTTGGTAGCTGGGTATTTGTTATCTTCTGCTAGTCAGAGTGGGTGTTATACTGCTGAAGGCTCTACTGTAAAAGTAACCATAAATAAGGGCAGTTGAATAATTTAATTGTAATGTTCATTCATATCACTCGTATCTGCTATTCTGGTTTGCTTCTGCATCATTGCTGCTTTTTGGAAAGAAACTTCACATACTTATCTGGGTTGTGTGTAGCTATGTGTCTTCTTTTATATCATCTGAAAATGAAAATTCCATAGTACTATAAGGGAGCTCTTGAAGATTTCTGAGATCATAGTGTGCTGACAAATGTAATGGAAACTATTAGGAACACTATATAAGTGTGGTCAGTTAGGTATTTACTTTAGGCTGCCACTAATTAAATTTGTTTAATGAAATGCTTTTAACAAAGCTTTCTTTGTTCTGAAAGCAGCAAGCCTAATTCTGCTCCTTTATAAACCCATTTATTATGGATTTCATTAAGTACTGGGTCCAAAAATCTCGACAAATTAAATACCCCACATCAATTGCCATGATGCCAAAACTGGACCAGCTTTGTGTACCGAGGATGAAAGAATGTAGGGACAAATATTACTGGAGTGAACACAGGTAATTTCAACCTGTTGTAAAAGAAGTTCTGACAGTGGTAGCAGACAGATGGTATCAACAATCTGTAGAAGAGCACTGCTAAATTTTAATTTGATTTATGATTATATCAGCAAATTATCTATACTGATTAAAATCTGGTGTTGGACTTACTATGGATCCATGGTAACTCGTATCAGTAGGGCTGACCTTCTCTAGTCCTCAGCTGGTCAAATTTTAGGCTCTCACTAACAGGATCTGCTAGGCTGTGTGGGTCCATATGGGTCACTTGGGGTTTGTAGGTCCAAAGTTTGTCACTTAAGAGGAAACTACTTACTTTGGTAACATAAATCCAATATTGCCCCCATAAATGTTCTCAATATGAAGCTCCAGTGCATACCTGATACAAGGTATAGCAAGGTAACATAAAATCAGGCTATTTCCTCAAGTTAAGCATTTATTGAAATGATTTATTGAAATATATGGCAGTGCTGTAGGGTGTTCTGTGGGTCCCTGGTTGTTAGCGAAGTTACCACATCGGAGATTTCTTCAGACACTTCTAATTCTCACTGTATAATTCTCTTTTCACCTCTAGGGTCCCCCAGGTCCACCAGGCAGAGATGGTGAAGATGGTCTACCAGGTCCTCCAGGGCCCCCTGGTCCTCCAGGTCTTGGCGGAGTAAGGCATCCAAACTTTCTATTACCAAAACTCATAAGCTGTGCTTTGTGACCAAGATTAAATTTGTATCTGCTGGAAAACAGTGTTGTTGAGCTGAAGAGTGGAGAAAACATTCTCTTGGGAGCCATAAGAAATTGATGGTCCCAGTTGTAATGAAACCCTCCTTGGGGTGTATATATTCCGTGGAAAATTTGGATTCTGTATTCAGCAGGGATTTAGGAAGAAGAGCAAATCAACCCTGTGATTTAGCAACAAACTTACACAGTGATAGCGTGATAATATTAAGTGGATGGGGAAAAAAAGCCTTTGTGGTTGGATTCAAGAGATAGCAACTGTATTGGAATAAGTGAATGAGATGACTCCTTAAGCTAAAAATCAATTAAAAGTGTATAGAATTTTAGAGTATTGTCCTTTAGAAATTTTTATTTTTATTTGTATTCATGCTGCAGAACTGTAAATGGGCTGTTGCCTACACAATCTGTGCACCAGTGTCCATTATGTATTCTCTGCAGAATGCTGAATTTAACTCTTAGCTTGACATTATCTTGCATAGGGAGCATGAAGGCAGTGTTGTATTGATCTAGTTTAGTCAATCCTTCTGCACAGAAGAATGCTCTTTTGATTTCAATGTGAATAGCAATACTTTATTTTGCTAGCTGCAAATATCAAACTGCTTTCATTATTTTTATTTTTTTTTCATTTTAATGTGTCAATGAAACAAGCAAGAAAAGGGGTTTGATTGTGTTGTGGAGAACCTTTTTCTATTTTGATAAAATATCAAAAATCCTTTGCAGTGTTTCTGAGGCTGCACTCTCCTCAGATGTTTCTGAAACTGAAGGGCCCACCTTATGCAATAGCTTCTCTGGGCTGGTACATGAATTTTACTTATGCATATTTTTTTCACTGTTTTGCTTGACTTCCCTCATTGGAGATTAGGCAGAATAATTTGAGAGTTTCAAGAAAATTTTCAATTTTAAATGAGCACTGAATTTACATTCCTTATTTTCAGTTCACACTATTGGATGCCTCTCTATAACTTCTGCAGAGATACTTAGGTTTGAAAACGCCTTCCCAGTAAAATCAAGTCTTTTTAGATAGAAATGTATTTATAATAGGGCTATATTTACTGAGTTATATGTATTCTGCTTTAAAAAACCCCATAGCAAGTATAACAAACCAGATGATATTTAGATACAGAATGTTGATTAAAAGTACTTTTTAAAGTTAAGTTTTTGTTTTGATTTCAACCTTTTTATTATCTACAGAACTTCGCTGCTCAATATGATCCATCTAAAGCAGCAGATTTTGGCCCAGGACCTATGGTAGGTATATGACATAGCACTTGATAACTCACATGAATGTGTTTAGGATTTCCTTTATTTCAGCTACATTAATTTTTAAAAAGTGTGTTAAAATTAGTGGTTTGATCATCTATTGACTCAGACTAGAAACTGATCCTTTAATACAGAATGATGATGTGTTTTAAGTGGTCTGAGGACTTGAAATATGGTCTTGAATCTGCATATTTATCTTAAATATAGCACTGCTGTGTCTCGTGATTTAACTCTGTTGACCACACTTTTATGAGTCAATGAATCTCATAATCTGACGTTAGATAACACATGTACTTTTATACAGTATTACTTTACCCATATTGAGACAGAAGATTGCGTTTTAGGAATAAGATTAATTGTAAAGCTGCTCTCTAAAACAGATACAGGCCTGAAAAGTAACTCAGCATCTTGGCTCCAGTTGGTGATGATTTTTCCTCCACAGCTGTACAACTCTTTTGATATCCTTGGATTGCAGAGGAATTTAGGAAATTGGCTGCTGCATTTGATTCTCAACATCTGAGCATTAGTACTTGGTACTGTGAGGCTGTTCTGAGGAGGACTCTTTATAGCTCACTGTATACTATGTACAAATGGAATTTAAGGGGTCTCATTGCCACTCCATGTGAGTTTCTTACCCCTCCTTATCTTAGCAAACATTTTCAGTGTACGCAAATAGCAGAATTAGGGTTAAATTCACCACACACACTGATGTCACAGACAGTGCATCAGATGGGTGAGCAGCAGGATGAAGGATGACCAGGATTATTTTGGGTCAAGTGCTTGTGTCCACTTCCAAAACCACTCTAATATTAAATGGATTTTGAAAAATACTTTGGCATCCATTTAGTTATGAAATACAGGAAAATATGAGTACCTTTAATCAAGTTCTGCTCTCAATGTCTGATGATTAATCAGAAAACATAGATGAGGATTTATTTGAGGTGTCACCATTTCTGTTTTCAATGGAAATCATTTCAGTTTTTGAATCAGTTAGGTTTATTTGGCAGTAACAGCAGTAAAATTTACCTATTGTGAGGAAGATTTTAAGTTTCACAAATAGTATGTAAAAGATCAGGAAGTAAAAAGTAGTTATAGAATATTATTTGTGAAGAAATTCACAGGGTTTATGCAGCAGATATGATACAGATTGTCTAGGAACTGTTATTTTTCCTAGAATTACTGGTTTTTTTAGAATTACTGTGTGTTTTCATATCCACAACATCGCTTTAACTTCCATGAGTAAATTCCTGTAATTAATGTGCGTTTATTCATCTTAATAAAAAGTTTTCAGTCTTTTGGGAAAGCTACATAAACCACTGAAAAGTTGGTGTATGATTTTAATCTTGTAATGAGAAAATCTAAAAGACTTTCCTAGAAAGCTTTAAAATTAATTTAAAACATAATTATTTCTGTTGAAGCTTCTCCTAAATAATTTGTTTGGAGTGTAGAAGTCCAAGTTAAAATTTCAGTTTGCAATTGTTTTCTTGCTTAGTAAACCTTAAAGTAGCTGTTAAGAGAGAGCACAAATCTATGGAAAGTTCCTTTTTAGGAGTGCTTTTCTCACCCTGTGTTTTCAAGATGTATATAAATTGTAATAATGTCAAGGAGAGTATATTAGTGATTTAATTTTCAAGTGATATGAAAAGAATTTAATCAACACCAGAAAACAATTAAATATTATAATAGAAGTAGATAATTATTGGAAATAGTTGTATACACAATATGTATAAGAGCCTTTCATAATGCATTACAACCCTCATCTTTAAACCCTGGATTTTTCTGCACAGGAAGAATTCAAAAAAGAATGAACCAGTTCATTTTCTAGCAATCCAGAGTAGATTAAGAAGATGAATCATAAAGTTCACAGCCATGATGGTACATTTCTAATCATCCCACTGGATTCTGTGTTGGCTCATTGCCATTAGAAGATGTTTGCACTTGGACTGCCTGTGCAAATTCATGCAGAGCTCTTAACTTCCTCTGATTTCATTTGAACATTGCACAGTGGAAACTGTGATGCTAACAAATATTTTAGGAATGCCCAGAATTGGTGTTACAGATGAGTTTATATAATTGTGATGTTCTTAAAAAGATCCTGTGATTTTTCTTCCCTAGGGTTTAATGGGACCCAGAGGCCCACCTGGAGCATCTGGACCTCCTGTGAGTACAGTCTTCTCTCTCCTACTGACATTGACATACCTGTAAAGTTACAAATTATCTTGTTTGGAAACCAATAATATCTTCCTCATTTTCTAGGGTCCTCCTGGTTTCCAAGGTCTTCCTGGTGAGCCTGGTGAACCTGGTCAAACAGTAAGTACAGATCACACACAGACACTGCTAGCATTAGGAACAGCACACCAAAGCTGGCTTGCAATGCTTTGGACCGTTTCTCCTGTCCATATGCACTTCTCTGAATGTTTGGATACTCCTGCTTGATCCTGTTACAGAAACAGAGCTGAACACTCAGATTCAAGCTCTCTCCACTTGGAATCATAAAGTGCAAAGTCAGTTAAGCTCCAGCTGAAGTCAGAAAACAGTGGGAAGACATATATGAAGAATGATGCCTCAGGTAATTCTCAATTTATTTTTAACAGGGTCCCCAGGGTCCTCGTGGTCCCCCTGGTCCTCCAGGAAAGGCTGGTGAAGACGTAAGTGGTTATTAAATGTTTCTCTTCTCTTTTGGGGTGGTGATTCAACTCTAACAGCCAGATAATTGTTAAACTTAGAATTCTACTGGCTGTATGTTTTACATTGTTAAATAAATAAACCCCTGAAATAATTATTTTATGGTACAAGAGATGCAGTATGCTGGAAATGTACAGAAAATTGGGTAAATTCCAAACCACTCCAAATACATTATTTAACTTCCCGAACACAGGGGAAAGAAAACTTAAAATTAAGAATCTCCCTTATCTATGGACAAAAAGAAGCCTTGCCAATGTGTTTTCTTTTTTCTTAGTGGTTTGTGTTGCTATTTTTTAAAAGAAGCTTTCCTTCTTAGTGCATCTTTATTGCATTTTTTAGGGTCACCCTGGCAAACCTGGAAGACCTGGTGAGAGGGGCGTTGCTGGCCCTCAGGTGTGTAGTGATCCACTGGATACAATACAAACCAGATCACTAATCAATTAAACCTAACAACCTTTCTGAATTTCACCACATTAACAGTCTAGTAATAATCCTTATAGAGATAAATACAATTTCAGCCCTTACTTGCAGGGATATTATAGTTACGTTTTTATTTTATTTCCCTACCCCATTCCCACTAAGGCTAGTAATGAGTAACTGAAGTGGCAGAGTGAGGAGTTACACATGGTAAGCTGTCACCTTGACATAGAAAGTTAAAAAAGCTGTGCTGTCACATGGTAATGCATGAAATTTCTGAGATTCAGAACTGTAAAAATCAGGTTGATTACTGTTAGTCTTGAAACAGGTTAGGATCTGGATTCTGTTCCTTACTTCAATGATTATGACCCAAATCTACTTGTTAATTTTACTGAAAGATTTATTCATTATCTTTCCTTTTTACTGCCCTGTGTAATATGAGAGACAATCATTCATGCACTGTGTGTTTTTAGGGTGCTCGTGGTTTCCCTGGAACTCCTGGTCTGCCTGGCTTTAAGGGAATTAGGGTGAGTACATATATACTTTTCCCTGAATATTTAAGGCTAACATCACTGCAGTGTACTGAAAACCCTTAGAAACCCTCTGAAAGTGAAGAGTGCATGAACCTCTTTGAAGTTTTTAGTATCACCTGATATGAAAGACTAACCAGAAGATAATATTAGGAAATAATTCTGTGTAGGAGGAAGGTTTTACAAGACTAAGAATTTTCATATAGCCATTTGAGAGAAAATATGTATCAATATTTATTTTTCTACTCAATATAGGGACACAATGGTCTGGACGGTCAAAAGGGACAACCTGGTACTCCTGGTAACAAGGTAAAGACAAAATCTGAACATGCAGGATGCATTTGTAGCTCTTCCTAGCAAAAGACATGTGAAGTCCCATCCAATCAGTCTTCCATGTTGCCATTAAACATTGCCCAGCTGCGGTAATCTAGAAGCCAGTGGATCCATGTAGAAAAAAATACATGCACCTTGTAATGAGAAAACATTCCTGGGGCCTTAATCTTGAGCCCTCAATCAAGTTGTAAGCAAGGTAATGCTTCCAGTGAATAAAGGCTGCAGAACTGGGCTCTTGATAACTCACTATTCAGCAGCGCTTCAGACTGATTTTGCTATCTCTGCTCTTCTCTAGATTGTATTCTACATTTGGGTAGGCTTTTTTGAAGTATTCTAAAATGAAAACATCTAATTTTTCTGCAAAACTCACATCACAGATGTGTGAGAAACATGTTCAGTGTAAGGCTTCCTGCTAAAAAATTGGATACATGCAGTGCTTTTCTGAGTTAAGGATATTTGATCCTCACAGTCTTTTTTCTTGTTAGCATCTTCATATTAGTGCACACTTTGAACACTTTTGTCTTTTTTCTTCTCCCATTCAAATTCAGTGCCTAATATCAGTGTTCTTGAAAAATTTACTGTTGCATCATTGTGTTACTGGTAATCCTGACTGATTCTCAGGAGATTTGTATTCACAGACTTCTAATATAACAACAGAAAAGTCAAATACTATAAGTAAAGGATGGAACAGTTACTAGTAAGAGTGCTAGAAAACACCAGCATATTAAATCAAGGTTGTTCATTATATAACTGTGCTGAAAGCAGCAATGAAGATAAGAACTTGTTGTCTTTGCAGCATTTAAGACTAGGTGCATTCAGGTATATTCAGGATACAAGTGCTGTAAGACAAATCTTGTCACAGCCTAGGCCTGTTGAGAAGGCTGTTGAGACTACAGTCCTGAAGGGAGAGGAGCCATGTATCAATGGCTGTTACTCAAATACTCAATATTATTGGTCTTAAGTTAAAAATACCTTTTTAAGGTAATAATAATACCTTTATATTAAGGTATTTAAGGCAGATACTTATTTTAAGCCATTTGAGAGGACTTTGTCAACTTATATTAAGGCAAAAGTAGCATTGTTCTGCTTCTGTTCTAGCTAAAAAACAGCTGCTGATTGATCTGGGTTTGTAGTTCACTATCCAGATCCAATCTCTTAAATGTGTAATACAGAGTAAATGTCAGCATAAAGAAAGGGGGTGAGGAAAGCTGAGCAAGTGGCACAACTTTCTCTGGCCCTCCCCTTCTAAAAGGATCCCATCTGGCTGTGTTCCAGTGTATGCAGGGACAATTGCAGTCTCTGCACCCTCAGGACTTGATGTGCTGTTATTGAATAGTGTGATGCAGAAACATGTGTTATAAAATGCTACAGAAGACAGTGGGATCCAGTAGCTGAAAACCTCTCTCATAGTGTTTGACTATCTGTCTAAAGCATCCTTAAGTAACTTAAGCCTCCAAACTTTCTTCTTCACAGGGAGAGCCTGGTGCCCCTGGTGAAAACGGTACCCCAGGACAGCCTGTAAGTATTCACTGCTGCTGTGGGAAATTATAATCTTAAAGATTTCAATCAGCCAGCATTTTCTTCAATATTTGTCATTATTGACACTCCAGATACCCAGATAATGTAATAATAATATGCAACATGACTTAGCAGAGGAAAAAAACTCTATATATCTATGTTCAATGAAGAGATATAAATAAGTTCATTTAATTTTTCTTTCAAGGGTGCTCGTGGTCTCCCTGGTGAGAGAGGAAGAGTAGGTGCCCCTGGACCAGCTGTAAGTGGCTTCCCATGTGTCTGTTGTCATGAACCAGCCACTTACTGTGGCTTCCTCTGATATTCAGTTCTCTTTTCAAACTATTTATCATGTTCTCTCCTCACAGGGTGCTCGTGGAAGTGATGGCAGTGCTGGCCCCACTGGACCTGCTGTAAGTTTCAGTCTTGCTTTTTGACAGCCTGGTTCCATTAGGCTTTGTGCTTCTCTTCCTGTTTTTAGAGGATTTCTTGGGCTTTTAAGAAGTTGATTTTGTTGATGTGTTTAACATGGTTCTTTGTTGCTTATTAGACCATCCCAAAGAGAATTAGTGAAACAAATCTTTTGCAGACTGTATCATGAGAGCCTCAGGATTTATATTAAACACATCCATAGTGAAGGAACCAAATATTCTCTTGTTTGCACTAGTGGTTTAATGAGAAAGTTTTCCAGCACGTCTCACTGGGAAATACTCACTGAACAGAATTCTCATTTCCAACAGTCTAAAGAATAATTCTCATCCCAAAGCTAAAGAGACCTTCTACTTTTTGACAGATACATACCATGCACATGTTACAGATGGTTATATACATCCTGTAAATTATACATGCAAAACAGGCTATAAATGCTTTGTACCTGCAGCACTGTCCTATCAGCCTAACAGGCACTGACCTTTTTCATTCACCACTGATACCTGAGATGTGAGCTAGTGTGAAAGGCCAGCAAGATCCAGCTCTTCTGACCTGACTGGTAAACAATAACTATTCTAATAAAAGCTAATCCAATGCAGATTTTCCCTTTTTAAAAGGAGTTAGCGTTGCCATAATTTACCCCTGACTTCAGTAAACCTCATTTATCTCAGTCAAACAAATATGAGTGCAAGGATATAGTTTTGAAACTGTAAAACAAATCTGGAATACACAAGAACAATAGTAATAACAGTTAATAAGGCTTTTTTCTTCCTATCTTCAAAAACTGAGTCTATGATGAAGTTGTACTTGGTTCTGTTTTGCCAAAGTTGATTTTAATACCCCTTGTTACTTCAGATACCTGTTGTGCTTTAACAGAGCGTGTGAGCATGGCTGTGAATTTCTCTTAAGTTCTTCCATGGAGAGTATTGAAAAAAATCTGTGATTGGGCAGTTAAATTGCAGGCAAATAAAAATCTTACAGCTAAGATCTTATGTAGGAGAACCAAAACATTTTAGCTGAAGACATTTTGAATGAAGGCAGTTGAGTTGCTGTAGGAAAAATGTTCTGAAGCTGGCAATTGCATGGGCTGTTATTCACAATGGGCACAGTGCTCCATGATGTCCCAATGTCTGTCCCAGGCTGAAGTTATTTGTCACATACTTAGGTCATGATGCCTTAATACTCTGCAAAACAGTTATTAACACTCATTTTTTAAAACTAAAACGGGAAAAAAAGTTCTATCCTTCTTTCCACTTGAAATTTTAAATGTAAAAAAGTCATTGCAGTGAAAATTCTGGAAGTTGATGCTTTCAAACATATCCAAAAGGGCATTTGGTCTTTTTTTTGATTATGCAAAACTAGTGGCAATTCCAGGTACTCCCACTATAACACTATAACAGTAGGTTATAGAACATCTGAAGCCAATTCCTCTTTGTCATACCAGCTGACACATTTTATACCTTGGATTTGTGAAGCAGTTTTATTATAAATATTTCTAATTGGAAGATCTTAGCTAACAAAAAAGTAGATATTGATGCAGAATATCAATTAATGAGTTGGATTTTTAATTAATAATTGAAAAAAACCTAACCCTTTGGATGCATTAAAAAATTAAGGCTGTGAATCCACCAGTGTATCTTTTCTTGTAGTGCCTGGTATGTTGGAACTTTGTCCCAATATAATTATAAATCTCACAGCAATAGGTGAACTTTGTGGAATCAGTCATCTTGCCTTGCAGAAGCCTGCCTCTGCTCATCCTTTGTTCTTTCTCAGGTGTTTGGCCTCAAGGCAGGGTTTTACCAATTCTTGCTTAATTTGTACTGCATATGTTCTTTAAGCATTGACCTGGCTCTTTACTGTTTGTAGTGAACCAAATCTGTCAGTTTGGAACTGAAAAAGGCTAAGGTGTGCTGAGGTGGTAATGTGTGGAATAAGTAAATGTGCATTTTTTTAATCTGTTTTCTCCAACAAGCAAGATGTTTCTGTTGTCGCTGAGTAATTTTACACAACTGCTTCCCTTTCATCTCCCAGGGCCCTATTGGTGCTGCTGGTCCTCCAGGCTTCCCAGGTGCTCCTGGTGCTAAGGTATGAACATCCTCTTCATGGTGGTACATTTGATAGTGAAGCTGAAATGTACTAACCAGAGTTTCTAGGCAGAAAAAAAAAAACCCCACCCTCCATGAGCTAGGAGTTCTTTCTTATTAGTTACTTTTGGATTTCATCCTCATCCTGATCTGTATTTGGAGAACATCAGATATGAGCGCTAATTTAAAATATAGCACTTACTTCACAGCTGGAGATGGATGCTATGCAGGTTCAGGAAAACACATAACCCTTTTACTGCTTCCTATGTGGTGCACTTACATACCCCTTCCAAGGGTGGCATAAATCATGATAAATAAGCAAAGCAGCAGTTAACATCACTTTACAGAAATAGTGGGGGATGACGAAGCTGTGTTTGATGATGGGGCTGCTTCCAATCTAAGTCCTTGAAATTACAGCGCAGAAATTGCATTAAAATTTTTCAGGTTTAGGGCTCTATCATTTTGCTCTTGCAGACTATAATTTAAATTATTCACCCTATAGCTCAAAGCTTAGCTTTTTTTATCTGGTAAGAGCCTCAATATTTTGGGTGTCCAAGGAGGGACAGAACATTTGAGGAAAGTGTTGCATATATTTCATGTAAAAATTTTGCTGACCATGTAATGACCATGTCATTCTGTGTATCAGACAAAACTTAATCAACTTTTAAACGAAAAAGAAGTATTATTTTCTAGACCCTTTAATTTTAACTTCAGGGAAACTGAGAAAAAAATTGAGATCCCATTCTGATTATTCTTTTCAAAAGGCAAGCCTTATGAAAGCTTGTCTTCTCTAAAGCAGATGTAAGTGTAGGTATATCATGTAGTTCCAAGAGGAGACTGTCTACCTATCCTGGATGAACTCTGACTGAACTGCTGAAGAAAACTTGTCACTATATTCAGGTTCTTGTAGTCAAATTAGGGAATACAACCTTCTGAAAATAAAAGCAAGAATAATTTTTCTGTCAATTGCTCCACTGTGAACACTATTCCACAGCAGTCTGAAAGTGCAAAATAATGGTCAGTTAGGTGTCATGTCCTGTGGCACTTCAGGCCAGTTCTGGAGGCACATGGGTGCACATGATTTTTTTGGTCTGGGTAAGCATCTGTTTTTCCTGTCTTAGCCATTACCTTAGAAGGAGCCTAAATAGACATCCCAACTTGAGTGCCTTTAAAATCCATTAAAAGCTCTCAGCTGCTCGGTTTCCTGCCCTCTGAAGTGGGAATACACAAATATGATTATCTTCATGCCAGGCTGATACAGGATTGCTTCACTGTTGCCATAACACTGTGTACACTGATAGAGGGTTCTGCCTTTCTCTCCAACAGGGTGAAATTGGACCTGCCGGTAATGTTGGTCCTAGTGGTCCTGCTGGCCCAAGAGGAGAGATTGGACTTCCTGGTTCTAGTGGTCCTGTTGGCCCTCCAGTGAGTAACTTGCCAGATTTTATCTATGGTCAGATGTGTGCACTTCTGATTCTGAACTGACCAGTATTGTTATCTTTTTTAACAGGGCAACCCCGGCGCTAATGGTCTTCCAGGGGCTAAGGGTGCAGCTGTAAGTACAACTGCACTTGTTTGCTCTAGAAAAAAAACAATTCAGTTAATGCAGCAGAAAAGACAATGGGTTCACAATACCTTTTTCCCCCCTCTGTTGGACAGGGTCTTCCTGGTGTTGCTGGTGCTCCTGGTCTGCCTGGTCCCCGTGGTATTCTTGGTCCTCCTGGCCCTGCTGGTCCTAGTGGTGCTAGAGGACTTGTTGTAAGTGACCTCTTATATTACATGTATTTGGAAACCAGACACAGTGTCTGTCCACAGTTGTAAAAGATCTCCTCTGGATATATTTATGTTATAGTGCAGACATTTTTTCTTGATGCACTATAGTTGAACATTTTAATTGATTTCTGTATCTCATTACTTGCTTTAGATGCTGAGACTGAAAAGATTCACTTTGCGTTCCCTATGAGTGCAAGGAGTAGTTGGACTTAATGATCCTTGTGGGTCCCTTCCAACACAGCATAATATTATATGACTGTGAAGTTCTGTCCATGTTAATAGCATTGAGAGATGTGGCAGCAGTCTCACAACTAAGCCCTCAGTGGGTATCCTCAGTAGAGGAACCAGCCCTACCTAAATGTGTCATTGTTCAGTACTGTCATTCCTAAGCATCTTTAACATGTTTGGTTTTGTGCCATTTAAGTCAAAAATACAGTTGTGTTCATTGACCATTTTCACAGTAGAGGGAAGCATGCCATTAGATGATAAAATATTTTTTTTGTTTCATGAGTAAGCTCTCCAGGTAGAAGAGAGATTTTTGGAATGCTGCCTAATTCTTTTTGTTTTGGACTCTAGGGTGAACCAGGCCCCGCTGGTGCCAAGGGAGAAAGTGGTATGAAGGGTGAGCCTGTAAGTATGGCAAAATGTGAAGGCTTTTTCAGTCAAAGGCCTAATAATATCTGCAACACCACATCTGATATTTTCTTTTTCTCTGTTTGTCCAAAATAGGGTGCTGCTGGACCTGCTGGCCCTCCTGGCCCTAGTGGTGAGGAAGGCAAGAGAGGCAGCCCTGGTGAACCTGGCTCTGCTGGTCCCCCAGGCCCTGCTGGTCTGAGAGTAGGTTTTCTTTTCATTTTCCAGAAATAAAAAGAAAAGTGGAAATCAATCTAGAGTCCCACAGGCAAATAAAATAATTATGAGTAATTAAATTTACATTAACGCTGCTAAGCAGTGATAATTTTCAATCCTTAGCCTTTTGATTAGTTGGGACCAAACCCATTTTTGGTTTGCATTAATGCTTACTTATCCCTGAAGTATTTAGAGATTGCTTTGATTTACCCACTGTGTAATATTTAGTGAATTATCTTATTACTCTTAAAAGTTTGTGATGGGATCTAACTGCTTAAAACAGATAATGGGCTCACACATAATGGAGGGCAAAAGCTTTCAATTCAGTCTCTTCAAGGATGGCTAGTAAACGTTTCACTGGGTGAGAAAGCCACTTCATGAAATTCAGGAGGCATGTAGCTTTTGTGAAGGAAAAGAATTCGCAGGAAAATAATAAGAAAAATGGCAGTGCTTTCCCCAGATTGTTTTTTGGCAGAGATAAAGAATTCAGAGTCAGTAACTCTCTACAGGGAATGTGGAACAGTGTGGGACAGGTTGTGGGTTCCTAGCTGCTGGCTAGAGCCACTATTAGTAACAATGAACACTGAAAATAATACAAACAGATTAGAATTTAAGCAAATCTACAGGGAACAGAGATCCTTTCACAATACCTGTTTACACTGTGTGCTTAAAGCTGTGCTTGCCTCAAATTCAGCAGACCTGCTTGGAAGGCTGAAATCTAGTAGTCACTATACACCTCACAAGAACAGATTTATTTCTTTCCCTTCTTTTCTGATTTGTTTTTTGTTGACTTGCAGGGTGTACCTGGATCTCGTGGGCTCCCTGGAGCTGATGGCAGAGCTGGTGTCATGGTAAGACTTTTGTCTGGGTCACTATTTCTGAACCACCTTTTATAGACAGATGTGCAATGCTTTTTGCTACTTCTGCCTAATTTTATTTTTATTTATTTTGGTAGGGACCTGCTGGTAACCGTGGTGCTAGTGGTCCTGTTGGTGCTAAGGGTCCTAATGGTGATGCTGGCCGTCCTGGTGAGCCTGGTCTTATGGGTCCAAGAGTAAGTTTGAACTCTGTGGATTAAGTTTGAACTACATAGAAAGAAAATAACTTAAAAAACAAAATTATTTGGAAATCCAACTGCATAAATTCAACATGTGTTAACCACAGTTAGGGCACTTCTACCACTCAATTTAAAAAACTCCACTAGGAATGATTAAGAAGCATCAAAATGTTTGTTGAAAGGAGTTACTTTTGTTAGGGAAGCATTTGATTGCCTTGGGAAGGAGCACTGTCCTCTTGTACTGGATACTGCATTGACCTCTGTAAGGGGTTTTCATTTGTGATTATTTACAGTGTGATCATTATGATCACAGTGGAGGTGTATGTATTCTCTTTAAAGAACTCAAGGGAAAGGAGACCCTACTAAAATGATGTGAAATTGCTAATCTCAATTATTTCTTTTTTATTTTGCAAATTATGTCACTGAAACCAGCCATTCACTTTTAGTAGTGTTGGCTGCAGCCAGATTATGTTCATTTCATTATATTTATACTCGTTATTCTTTCTCTTCCTATCCTACCCTGTGAAGTGAAAGTTTGCAATGCACATATGAGTATTAGGCATCTGCAAACATTGAAACACACTGTCCTCTAAAGCAGAGCCTAAATTAGTTTGTCTAAAATAATTTAGGTACTTCCCTATACTGATTTTCAGCTGGCATGGGAGCACGCACCACCAGATCAACAGTCAGTGTGGTTCAGGTGGAAATGTGATAGCACCTACAGTCCTCTTTAAAAAGTGTACACTGATAACTTAGCACCCCTGTGTGTGTGTGTGTGCATGCATTAGAAAAAAATGGTGGTTATGTGTTGGGTGAGTAGGTTTCCTTCTAAAAACATGAAACTTTTCCTTTCTCAGGGTCTCCCAGGTCAGCCTGGAAGCCCAGGCCCTGCTGGCAAGGAAGGTCCTGTTGTAAGTACCTTGCTTTTTATTCCCTCATTACATGGGAAAGAATGAAGTACAACTGTATAAAGCAGACATCTCAGCACTGAGCTCTAACACAACTGTGTAAAAACAGGAAGATTTTCTATTGTGTTACTCAGAAGATCAGTGTTAAGTTTTCCATTCATTTCTGTGGCCAGATCAGGCCTGTGTCCTGGAAGGGGAAAAATCAATACAGAGTTTTACTAAAAGGAGAAAAAGGGAGGGATGCATGAGCATGCAATGTATCAACAATGGTGAAAAGTTAAATGACATTTGCTCCCTGTCAGTACATATTTCTCCTAAAGCTGAGCTCTAATTAAACTACCTCAGCCATTTAATAGTACGATTTCTTTTTCTAGGGTTTCCCTGGAGCAGATGGTAGAGTTGGGCCAATTGGTCCAGCTGGTAATAGAGGTGAGCCTGGCAACATTGGATTCCCTGGACCAAAAGGCCCCACTGTAAGTACAGTACAGAAACTTTTTATTGCTATGAAAGTATTTCCAGACTAATCTGTAGGTTCTCAACTCTATCATTAATCTAACACATCTCCCTGTATTTTCCTGTGATGCTCATCAGATGGCTTACATCTGCTTACATTCAAGAGTTTTGTTTAAAATTATTTTCCAGTTACCTAAAATCTGATTAAAGAAAGGAAAAAGCAGTTTAATTAGCTGAGGGATATTTTGACATTGAAGTGATTAGAATAATATAGGTATATTTTATGATTTCAGCATGTCCATTTTATCACTTCTGTATATTCACATCTGTAAAAGTTCTGTCAAGTTTGACTATTAATCCAGTTCCAGAGTATTGTTATTTATAGAGCACTCTACAAAGCTCACTCATCTTAGGATAAAAGCTACCAGTGACTTCAGTGGAGTTCTTTACATGTCCTGGACTTGGGTGTTGATGTACATACAAACATGTGCAAACCTGTAGTGTATTGCATAGGACACTATGAGGAGTGCCATCAATTACAATCTCAAAACACAAAGGCATCAAGTTTTGAAAAGACTTTTCTTTTTAGCTCATTATTTTTGAGCTAATCTAAGTTATCCAAAAAGACAGATGGAGGTTGTGTGTGTTTTAATTTGGGTTAAAGAAGTATTACAGTAAATCTTCTGACAGTGAGAGTATAAGTCTCTGCTTAGTAGTTCAAGCTGCATCTAATATGAAGTGTTGGTTAACTTTTATATCTTTTTCTTTCAACTTCAGGGTGAACCTGGCAAACCTGGTGAAAAAGGCAATGTTGGTCTTGCTGGCCCACGGGTATGTAGATATATTTTCTTTATCACCTTCCAGAGAGAAAATAAAAGTAGATTTTCCAAACCTCTGTAATAAGATTACATTGGCTTGTGCAAGTATGAATAGATGATGAAATTAGAAAAGCCCTTGGGAATGCATTCTTTTTAGCCTCATGTCAGTGGGAGCTATTACTTAATGGATAAATGGAAACTCCCCATCTTGGGTATTAGTTGGGTAATTAATCATGGGGTATTATCCTATGGAAAGGAAAATATAGCTCTCCCTGTTCTTAATTCTTAGAGCATGGTATATGGTTTCTACTTCATCCTGTAAATTTCCAACTTTTTACTGATAGTTGAAACTTACTAATTCTTCCCTTTAAGGGACCCAAAAACCAGTCTGCTGTGGGAAAAATGCTATCAGCAAGGTTTCTATATTCTGTAATTCCAAAATAAGTTTTCTTAAGTATGAATGTGCTGCAATAACTGGCACATAATTGTTTGGAGATATTGCTCATATCAAATCAAAACTTTGATAATAGCTTTCTACTTGAACATATATAGGGTGCTCCTGGTCCAGAGGGAAACAATGGTGCTCAAGGTCCTCCTGGTGTCACTGTAAGTAACAGCCTCCACACAAATCCAATTTGTGATTTGCTTTTCATTAATGGGACTTCCCAGTTTTAAGTCCACTTCCCTGTGTTTCTTCTTCCAAGTTAATAATTTGTTTTTCACTCCATCCAGGGCAACCAAGGTGGAAAAGGTGAAACAGGTCCTGCTGGCCCTCCTGGCTTCCAGGTAAGGAACTGTGTGCTCTGTTCAATCTTATCTACATTTCCCAAAGCATGAGGAGCTTCTGCCATAACTATATTTGTATTCTTGTTTCTTTACACTCAGGGTCTGCCAGGTCCCTCGGGTCCTGCTGGAGAGGCTGGTAAACCAGGCGAGAGGGTGAGTGACGGACGCAGCATTCCATGGATGGGGCAGGCATTGCACGAGGGCTCTGTTTGCATTGGCAGGGTTAAAAATTTCGGGGTTTTTAACCTATTATTGTTAACCTCAAATAAGCAAGAGCCTGTTGAATCTATTTGCCAAAACAAAGCAATCAGGGTAACATGCGAACTTTAATAGTCCCTTTTGCGTTGGAACTTGCATCATACTTCCTTTCTCAAAGTTTTGGTATGAAACAGACCAAAGGTAGTCCTTTGCTTTTTGGGCCTTGAGTAGCAATTAAATATGCTTCTTCCCCGAGAAGAGACAGTACATGAAAAATATTTTTCTTCACATTTCTTTCAAAATCTTCAAGGTTCAATCTAACCTGCACTACTCCAATTATGTTTTTGTACCTCAGCTGATTTCAGGGAATGTACAATGGCATCCAACTGAGGCGGTTCATTTATGGTTCATGCTCTAGCTGCTGCATAGTTAGTGGGAGATGTAGTCTGCAAATTGTGCATTCTCTGCATCATAATCACTTTTAACATTTATAGTTACATCTGTGTCCCTGTAAAAGAGTTTACATTGCATGTACCTGAAAAAAGTTTGTCATTTAATAACTAACTCTTCAGATGAAAAAATATTATCTAATGTGTACCCTGAAATACTGTGCAGCTGGAGGAAAAGGGCTTATTTCCATGTATGTAACAGACTGTCTCAAAATTTGTCTGAAACTTTTCAACATGCTTCTGTAATTTGAGAATTTCCATTTGTTGCTAAGAAACAAAGTACAGTTTAAGGAAGTAAAATAAACTTTACCACTCTATCTACTCTCTTCTAGGGTCTTCATGGTGAATTTGGTGTCCCTGGTCCTGCTGGCCCAAGAGTGAGTAACTCATTTGAAATCTGGTACAGACTGTCTTAATAATGTGTTATAAACACACTTAATGAAGTGTTCCGTAATAATAGTGGCTATATACATTTCCATGTTCCTCAAGGCAAAAAGCTCTTCTCTGTTACAGAATAGTGTATTGCAGCAGACTCCCAGGAATGAAGGATGATATTCTCTGCTCTTTGCAGGTGTTAGGGTATTTGAGTTAGTTAACACAGTTGCCAGTCTTTGTAAACTTCTGTATAAGTGTGAATATTACCCAAATGATGATATCCTGTATTAACCTTACAATGAGACTATGGATGATAAAGGACTGAGGCCTGACAAATATGAGAGTTTTCATCTGCAGTGCCTGTGCACAGACCTTCTTAGCCTGAGCATTTCAGTTTTACTATCCCTTGCTAGGCAGCTCGTAGCTCCTCAGTACTGACTTTGAATAAATAGTAGGCTGAATTCAGAAACTGGAATAGTCATTAGAAGGTATTGCTTCCCCTTTAATTCTGAAGTGTCAGTGAACATCCTCAAAGAGCTTTATGTGGACACCTTCCTGCATGACAGGAAGATACCATTTATGTAGAGCAAGTAGTAGTTTATAAAGGGCTCAATTAATTATTTGCTTTCCAAATCTGCCTCTAAAGAGATGGATGTTTAACCTACTTCTGTTGCTTCTTCTTTTCTTCTGACTTCCAGATTAAATGTATCCAGTGACAAGTGTTCCCATTCACTCTTACAAGTTATTTCAACCAGTTTAAACAGGACTTTTGCTCCCTATGTTTTAGTGCCCTGAGTCTGTATCAGAAACCATGTCTTGCTCTAAACTCTCATTTTGCCAGTGCATCTAAGCCTAGTTCCCTTTGTCATAACAGTAGGAGTTATTTTCCTCTGCTCTAGATTGCCCTAAGCATCACACATCCAGCCCTCAGTGTATTTCAAAATAGGTCTTACTGATGCTTTATACACAAAACTAACACTTCCTAAGAATACCCCACTGCTTGTGCCAGATCACATTTTCCTTTTATATGTCTCTGAAATATTCTAGGCTATTACCTTTCCCTTTCAGTCATTTCTCCATTTACAGCAGAATTCAGTTTTGGTGCCTAAATAAATGGTCTGGTACTTGCACTCTTGAATTTTATCCCTTTGCTGTTACAGCCATCTATCAGGTTATTCACTTCTTCCTGTGTAGCCTGCCAGTCCTTTGATCTGTTGACAAATGCTTCCACCTTTGTGATATCTGCATATTTCTTCTTTTTCTCCCTCTCTGTAATGTGTGGAAAAAAAATTAATTTAGGAACATCTTTACAATATAAATTAATCTGTTGCATCATTGGTGCTTTCTACTGGTGCACTATCTCCCCTTAAGTCAGTTCTTTGACCACATTATAGTTTTTTCACAAATTCCAAATTGTCCAGCATAACTAAAAACTCTATTATGCCTTATCAGATTATTCACTGATGTCCAGCTTGATCACACTGAGATAATTTGAGATATCTTTAGTAAAACTAGTGTTTCTATCTTTGATAGATCTGTTGTTCATTTAAATCAAGTTTCTGGCTATTTCTATGTCTCCAGATCTATGGTTCAGAATTTATCCTTCTACCTATTATAATGTACAGGTCACATTAGTAGGCTTGAGGTGTTACCTTTATTCCCCTGCCACCAGGCATCTGCCACTGTAAAAGTAATTGTTTGCCAATTACTAACCCTTTAATTTCACTAGAATCCATTATTTGTTCTAAAACAGAATCTCCATTTGACAGTAAAATGCCAGACACTGTTAACAGAACAAGCACAGTAGCCAAAATCCATATTCAAGAAGTATTAATACTTTAGTTGTCATCTGTTGTCATGATGCAAGACTTTATTACTTAATTTTGATATTTTTGTGTCAAAAGCTAGAGCCAGTTCTTATGACCAGTTTAGTTAATAGCTGCACAGCTCTGATTAGTTTGTTCAGATAAAAATGTGTCACACTGTCATGGTACCTGGCCAGTGCTTTCAGCTACAGACCAATTCAAGGAAGCTCTCAGATCAGGCTGTCTCCTGTAGGGTGAACGTGGTCCTCCTGGCGAGAGCGGTGCTGTCGGTCCTGCTGGTCCCATTGGAAGCCGTGGTCCCTCTGGCCCACCAGGCCCTGATGGTAACAAGGTATGCCTTTTCCAGCTGCCAGTGCCTTGCTCTTGAATTCCTGATGAATGCAATCCAAAACCTCTCTCCAAGTGGTGAAGTTCCATCCCAGCTAGTCCACACTAATGTTAAATGGGTTTATGTTTAGTACTACAGATGATGGGAGGGGAAGTCAGTTTGAATACAGGTTGTCAGCTGGGTATGCTGTTATTCTTTTTGGACATAGGATCTTAGATTCTGACCAAAATTCATGCTGACTTCTGTTTATACCCAGACCTAACTTGTACACAGGAAGCTCTTGTGTCTAGTAAGCAATATTTTCCCCCAAATAAAAGTGAAATAATAAGTGATCCCCTAGCAAATGTGATGCTGGCTTGGTGCTAAGTGAATCTGGGTCTTGGTTTTCTGGATTCCCATGGCTAGTCATTCTACAGAAATTTAATTTGGAAAAGGGACCTAAAACCTCAGGATCCCACAGAATAGGAGAGAGACTGTTTACATCTAGCATCTCGACTAGCTGGAAAAGTAAGACACATACAATAGCTCAAGACAAAAATGTTACTACTCAAACTGTTTGCAACCAAGTAGAATGGTGGGCAGAATAGTAATGATGATTTTGTTCTCCATTATGTGAGTGACTTGACCCTGACTTACATGATATGCTCTTGCTGCTAGGGTGAGCCTGGCAATGTTGGTGCTGCTGGTGCTCCTGGTCCTGCTGGCCCTGGTGGAATCCCAGGAGAGAGGGGTGTTGCTGGTGTTCCAGGAGGCAAGGGTGAAAAGGTAAGATGGACAACTGGCTTGTTACTGTATGCGCAGGTTTGAGATGCCTAAATTTCATTAACTTGGAAAAACCTGCAGGTTACCACAATGGGACTTTTATTTACTGTAAAACTGTATTACTCAATAGTCAGCAAGTAGGGGTTTTGTTGGTCTGACAGACTGACTGTCTTTTATAAGGTGCTATCCTAAAACTTTTTAAAAACCCTATGTATCAACATGCAGATTAATGCAGAACACTAGGCTGTATTAAGGAAAAAAAGAGAGAGAACAGAGTGTTGATCTGATTTTTTGACTCTAGTGATGGCCTGAAAATAACTTTTTGTTATATGAAATGTGGCATTTTATGTGTCTGTCCATATGACATCATTGTTTGTAATAGCTGTTTTCTTGCTTCATATAGAAAGTACAACATGAAAATCTAGAAGAATTTTTACAGATGGACATCTATTGACCAAAAGAAGAGAGATTTTTGAGGGGGATTTATATGCATCACTTGTAATATGCATGGACATTTTCAGTGAGCTAAATTTTCAATTTCTAATTCCATTCAAAATTCTTGGGACCTGGGAGAAACCAAGAAGGTTTCCCATGACAGAAGGTTTATTCTGAAAAGCATGCCAAAACATCCAGACATTCACTTTGCAAGTCAGTACCTACTCAGCAATAAGAATGAAATAATAATCAATGCTCATTTCTCCAGAAAACCTAGCATGATAAGCTTTTTGTATGATGTCTAAGTAATGTACAGATACTCAGCAAGCAGCTCAAGACTTCTTTCATACAAACTGTTGAGTTCACTACCAATACAATTTTTCCCACTGTGTGTTCCAGGGTGCCCCAGGTCTGAGAGGTGATACAGGTGCAACAGGAAGAGATGGTGCTCGTGTAAGTATCTTCTGGTTCTACTTGACTTAACCTTGCTACACCTCAGAACTTAAATAACTGAGAAGGATGCTCAGAGCTTGCATTTCTCACTGTATTGCATTACTGCCTATATCTGCTCAATACAAATCAATGTAGTTTTTTTGCCTCTTATCCAAGGATGATTGAATTCAAGGGGAGAGAGAGAGAAAAGTGATCATTTCTCATGCATCCAAGCAGAGAAATTACATGAACAGAGCATTACACAGACATTGCACAGCTGTTCAGTGTGACAGTGTCCTCTTTAATTTCATGGGCTAAGCCCAGACAGATAGTTTTAAAGGCAGCCTGCAAAGTTACACAAGACTATCCTTAATTTGAGATTTCAGGTGCCTTTCTTAGAATTCATACTTTGGGAAGGAAAGTAACTGAATAGATTTTTTTTTATAAAATCATGTATCCTTTATAATGAGAGCATCTGAAAGAAAGTTAGTTACATACCTTTCTCCAGGAGGAAGGAGAAAGTTTATTTAAAGTAGTTGGTCCTACTTAACATTTTGTTTGAAACAGTGTGCTATCTCTTGGCCTATAGGGTCTCCCTGCTTTAAGTTTTTCAGATTGAGGAAGCAAGAGCTGTTGGGACTATTCAGTGAAGCTTGCCATAGTATCCCAAACCTTTTTCTGAAATGGCAGGAAGGAGGATGCACATCTCCACAGCAGTGGGTTATTTCTGGAGAGGATTCTGGTTCAGCCTTGGGCTGAATTTTTCCCAGCTGAGGTTAAAATCCACAATCCTACTTGCACGTGAGAGGAGGTTTTGATACAATGATGAATAACCACACGTTAGCTGAATATATATATATTTATATTATATATAAAATATAAAATTATATTTTATGCTGTCTGAGAATCATTAGAAATTATTAATATAGGGCGGACCAAAACCAGAAACATTTTCAGTAACATTCCCTGCACTAGAGACTCAAGGAGACTCACTGTATGTATCTGTACCACAGGAGTAATCCTGTTCTGGCTGCAGTAAGGCTATTTCCCAATGTCAAAATGTTTTGGGCTGTCTTTTAGGGAGAAGGAGGTCCTGCTGGTCCTGCTGGTCCTGCTGGTGCCCGTGGTATCCCTGTAAGTAGCGATTTCTGCAATTATTCCTGTGTCAAAGACATGATGTTCAGAAAACTGGCCTTTTAAAGACCATTCTAACCAGTTGTCTCTTCTTTGTCCTCTCTCTAGGGTGAACGTGGTGAGCCTGGTCCTGTAGGTCCCAGTGGATTTGCTGGACCCCCTGTGAGTTTTGTTTGCACTTTTCTCATATTGATGCCATAACCTTCCTCTGTTTCCTCTGCAAGGTTTCCAGTTCCTCATTTTGTCTGTTTTTCTGCCCACAGGGTGCAGCTGGTCAGCCTGGCGCTAAAGGCGAGCGTGGGCCCAAAGGACCTAAGGGAGAAACTGGACCAACAGGTGCCATTGGCCCAATTGGTGCTTCTGGGCCTCCAGTAAGTGAATTGTCTTTGTGAAATGCATTGTTCTCAACTGTGCCATGCAAGCAATACATGGCCTGAAAGCCTTGAATTCTGAAAAGGTAATTAAAGAAAGAAGCAAAACTTCAAACTAGGCTGTGAGAAAAGTTACCATTCTGATTTTCACACATTATGTAAATTTTATCAATCTATTTATGTGGGCTCAGATCGTGAGTCTGGAACTGAAATGAAGAGAAAAATAATAGCTAATTTTCAACTTGCTCTGAAGATCAGCAAAATCACTCTATCTTGGACCATTCAGGGTGTGATTGTGGGTAAGTTCAAGCTGAGGACACTGGCACTTTTCTCTCAAAGATGGGATGTGCTGCCACAGTCTGATCTGTAGACTCAGTCATCCAGAAGCATGTGTGCAAATTTGTCCATGCACCCATTTACACATAGGCTTTTCATGCACTGACATGGAAACTGATTGAAATGATGCAGAAAGTCAGACTCACGTGCTTCAAATACTTCAAAGTGTTGCAGGATAATGTGGCTTGGGTTACTTACTGTATAATTTTAATAGAACAATACCAAGATCTTTCACTATGTGGCTGTATTGGTCACACAGTGATTGATGGAATTGATGATTTTGCCCTGCTTTCACATTTTGACTTCCAGATCTGTTTAGATGCATGTAACATTTGCAAGGAAATTAATCTGATTCAAAAATGCCTTATGCAACTTTCCTCAGGCCTTATGATACCAATTTAAAATGTCTATGAGAATTTAATACCCTATTATCAGGATAGGCAGCATGGTTTTGGGCCCAGTCCTCCTCCTGCTGGTGTAAAAATTACCCTTAGTTTTCACAATAGTGAGACTGAGCTCTTATTCTAAATAGAGAGCATTAATTGTCTTTGCTTGATCCATCTCTTTTTCAATCCTCTCTACTTAGGGCCCCGCTGGTGCTGCTGGACCTGCTGGCCCCCGTGGTGATGCTGGTCCTCCTGTAAGTCTTCAGGCTTTTATGTACTGACATTGTTGCTTTTCATGAAAAGATTAAACCTAATCTTCATTTTCAAATTTGTTTTTAGGGCATGACTGGTTTCCCTGGTGCTGCTGGAAGAGTTGGTCCTCCTGGCCCTGCTGTAAGTAACTAATGAAGAATTCTAATGGGAGATAAGTCAGATGTTTCTTAGGGATAATCCTAACTTTTGTTTCATTGATGTGAATCGTAATTGCACTGAAATAACCTCAGACACTTACAGAATTGGATGAGAAAAAAATCTAATTGTTCAAACTCCCAGAGTGCAACCTATGTATTTAATTTGTGAGTTTTCATAATCCATCAAGCATCACTAGGCATAGTACCCAACCCTTGAAGTTGGAAGTCTTGAAGTACCCAACCATTTCCAAAAACCTGTGTTTATTTGCTTTTGTTCAAATCAATGGCTATGCAATTACCCCTGATGGAGTGGAATAAGAAGGTCATGTCCAATCTTCAGAAGAATGTTAAGGTTATCCTATGTCTACATTTTCTAAAGTACCTGCAGTTCTAGCCCCTGTCTTGAGTAGGGCAAGCACACTGTGTTTTGGAATGTGAATCTTTTTTTATTTTTCAGCAATAAATTCTCATTCTAGATTGACATGGTAGTTTTTTTCTTTCCAAAGGTGTTTCCAGTCTTTACCAAAAGGCATATCTTTTCTTAGATACTCTAGATTTAAATAAATTTTAACTCCCAGTATTCAAAACAAATAATCCTCTTGAATTACTTGAATACTGAAGATACTGTTTGTTTTTTTTTCTCATGGATTTTATAGTTGCAATTAATGTCTCCAACAAGAGACAGATCTATATTTTCCCACCAAATTTTGCCACTTTCACCTGCCCCAGAGTTAAAAAAAAAAAAAAGCAGTCAAAAAATTCTACTGCTTCCAGCTTTCCACTGCTAACAAAGCAATAGAAGTTGCTGCTTCGGAGCAGGTGATGACCTGCTTATTGCAATGGACTGTTTTTTCACATGGACTTAAAATGAAATTTATCTGTGTTATCCCCAGGTCTGTATTGTAACAATATCATATTCATACTCAATCCTAGGGCATCACTGGTCCCCCTGGTCCTCCTGGCCCAGCTGGCAAAGATGGTCCTCGAGGTCTACGTGGTGATGTTGGACCAGTTGGCCGCACTGGTGAACAAGGTATTGCTGGCCCACCTGGTTTTGCTGGTGAGAAAGGTCCATCTGGAGAGGCTGGTGCTGCTGTAAGTTACTGAGTATCACATCTTATTAAATATGTTTCTCTTCATGTAAATGTTACGGCTTCTGAAATACTTTCTGTGTTTGTGAAGGGCTTTTCTACTTCATCCACAAATTTAGCAAAGCCTTTAAGTAGAAGTTCACTGAGACACAGGCAATTGTTTATAGGCATGTTTGACAAACATGCCATAAAAAGTGAACCTGATCCCTGGGTCAGGGTTTTCTTTCTTTTTTTCTCTTGTGGTGAGTTGTATCTTTAACTACAGAAGAAATTGATGTTTAGTCTGAGAAAAGGAAGCACATCTTCTGCTCTGAAATTGATCCTCATGGATAGAAAAAGAAGAAACCTGTGAATGTCCATGTAGAACAATCTCAATTCATAGCTGCATCAAAAACTCTGATTTGTGGGAATCACAAGGTTAAAGTTGTCTGTCCGCAGCTTGACTTACAATTATGCAAATAAATTAATTACTTTTAAGTACCTTTAAGCTTTCACATCCAGAATTACTGTCTTTTTAAAAAACCATACATGTTTCTATCTTATTGAAGTAAGCACTTGTGTGAAATACTACAATTGTTACTCAACAAAAAATTATAGAAAATTCTTCTGTGGTCTACAGAAATTGTAACCGAGAACGAAATTTCAGTGTCATTTTTTGGTATGTATGTTACACTTATTTTTGTCTATTAATATAAATATTTTTCTCTTCATGTCATAGGGTCCTCCTGGTGCCCCAGGTCCTCAGGGTATTCTTGGTGCTCCTGGTATCCTTGGTCTGCCTGGCTCTCGGGGAGAACGTGGTCTTCCAGGCATCTCTGGAGCAACAGTGAGTATATGATTAGTTAACTGCTTTAAACAGATAGCATGTAATAAAAAAATGAAAAAAAAACCCCATACCCATGAGGTCCCATCTTCTGGGAAGCCAGGGAGATGCAGATTATGCTCTTCTTGTTGCTGATGGAAACAGAGGATATGAGCCTACCAGACCTAGATCAATGGAAGAAATTATGGCTTGTTGCAGACAAACCAGAATTGTCTGCAAGTGAGCAAATTTCTGAATGTCAGAAATGTCAGAAATATTAAGAGGTTTCTAATAGTAACATTTAGAATGAAGATAACATTTGATATAGATAGGTATTTTTCTGGTGTCCTGATTCTTTTTTTCATTCCCAAACTCATTGCAGAGAAATGTTGCTCTTAGATAAGGCTAATGTTCTGTAAGTTTGTGTTGTATTATAATGTCACATTTTCTTACAACTGTTCCTGTATTAGGGTGAACCTGGTCCCCTGGGTGTTTCTGGTCCTCCTGGTGCCCGTGGTCCCTCTGGTCCTGTGGGTTCTCCTGGTCCAAATGGTGCTCCTGGTGAAGCTGGACGTGATGTAAGCTGTCTTTTATCCTCTTCAGGTTGCTTTTCCTTTATTCTGATCCAAATACAAATACTTGGGAAAAGTGGATGGAACTGGAGGCTGTTCTGCTAGCAAACTTGTACAATGTCTTCAGAGAAAATTGTATCAGGATTTTTATAGACACAGATTCCTATGCCCAACTAGGTGACAGAGTTTTTACAGCACAAATTGTGTTTGAAATACATCCTAAAGTCACTCCCAGAATCTTTTCACTTTTAATTAAATGCCAAGAAAGGTGGAGTGGGGAACATATGTATCTTTCATGAAAGTATAAAAATTGCAGCCTTATCAGGGAAGCTTATTTGATAACTTGAAGTGTAGTTAATACATTGTTAATAAAAATCTTGCAGAGACTTTGCAAGATTTCAAAGAGAACAGAGAATAATAATTTTAAAATCCCAAACTTTCTTTCACTGGAATTTTCTGAAGGAAAAGGGGTTTTTTGACATAGCATAAGTGCTGAAGTGAAATTAACATTCAAAAATTAAAGCATTTAATCTTGTGAAGTACCACAGCAAAGTAATATAGTTGTGGCTATTGTTTAGGTTCTTTTCCTTCCACTGGCATTTTTCATCCAAAAAGAAAGTTAAAAGAGTGCAAGCAACTGAAGACCACTGTTGTCTTAGCCTTTTCATTTAGAGAAATGTTGCAAAGCCCAGTAATTTTTTTTCTTACTTAACTTTTAAAACCTAATATATTTGAAGACCATTTCTGAGAACATTAGTATATTTAAGGCATTTGAGAATGGCATGTGTAAGGAAGAGATTTTTTGTCTTTAAAATTTATATTGTCTTATCTCAATATCTTCTTACTCTCACTGTAAGCAATTAGACTGAGACAGTTCTGTGTGAGATGAAAGGTGATGGAATTTAGTAACTTTTTTCACGGTATTTTCATAGGGCAATCCTGGAAATGATGGTCCTCCAGGCCGTGATGGTGCTCCTGGTTTCAAGGTAACTTGTTTCTTTTTTCTTTTACTTCATTTTTATGGAAGAAATATTCCAATATGTATAAGTCAGTAATAATACCACGTGTCTCCTGTTGCATTCCTTTGTTCCCAGGGTGAGCGTGGTGCTCCTGGTAATCCTGGTCCCAGTGGTGCTCTGGGTGCTCCTGGTCCTCATGGCCAAGTTGGTCCTTCTGGAAAGCCTGGAAACCGTGGTGAACCCGTAAGTCAATGAGATGATGGTATACCTTAGCCTTCTGGATTAAGGCCTAAGAGGACTAAGACTTGTCTATCATATATATACATACATACAAAGTACATCCCACCTCTACAATGCATAGATAATTACTTCACTTTCTCCAGAGATGCATTGAGCATGGAACCTTCATTAGAGCAATATAAAGCAGTGACATGTATTCTCTATTCCTGTTTTAGGGCCCTGCTGGTGTTGTTGGTCCTGCTGGTGCTTTTGGTCCAAGAGGTCTTGCTGTAAGTCCAATTTTTAAATACATTATCACATTGGTGCAAGAAAAGAAAACATGCTTTATCAATAACTATGATCAAGGGGCCCAAAAAGTAATGCTTAAGGACCTGAAAATATTTAGGAACTTAGAATCTCAGTTAGAATTCTCTTTTGTGGGATCAATCATGAAGCTTTTGGGATTGGTACTCTTCCTCGGTTATTTAAGGTTATGTCCATTATATATATTGAGATATGGCTTAATGTAGAATATTACACTTAATTCTTGCTTGGACAGGAGTATGTTCTTGAAGCCTTCTAATTTATTCCTTTGACACCTATATCCCTTCCTAGGGCCCACAAGGTCCACGTGGTGAGAAAGGTCTACCTGGTGATAAGGGTCCTAGAGGTCTGCCTGGCTTGAAGGGACACAATGGATTGCAGGGTCTTCCTGGTCTTGCTGTAAGTAAATTATTTTCAGGGTTTTATTTATATACATATATATTAAAAAATAATAATAAAAAAAATATATATAAAGAGCAAAAAAACCAAAATAAAGTCACACTATCAAGGAATTATATATGCACAATACAGCATGTAAATACCACTTACTCCACTCCGCAGGACTTTTTAACTGAAGTCATAAACAGTCTCTTTAACATTCACCTTTTTTGTACAAAATGGCAAATTCTGGTATTGGCATTAGAACTGTGACTACCATTGATCCCATTGAAGCTCAATTGCATTTGGCTAGCAAAGAATTAAAAAGTCTTCTCCCTTTGTTTTAGCATTATTCCTTATTTTGGCCAGAAATTGTACAACTTTTATCTCAGAAAGAACAAAGTAGTTTGTGGTTTTTCTTCCCTTTAAATTTGGGTACCAACTTTAGAAATTCTGACTTTTATTTTAAAGCCTTCTCTGAAGATCAGAAGAAACAATATAAAGAATTTTATTTTATACGTATATATGTAATATAAAGAATTTTATAGGTTTTACTCTTAAATATATATTGCCCTCTCTCCTCTCTTCCCAGAACAAGTATTTTATACCCTAACTCCACTAATAAATGTCATTAGCCCTATATTCCCATTCTCTGAGCCCAAACACACATTACATATTACAATCAAGCAAACACAAACATGTTCCACTGCTCTTTTTTTGATGACTGTGTATCTTTCCGTTCAAATTTCCTTTTAGGGTCCACCTGGTCCTTCTGGTCCTCCTGGTAAAGATGGTCGCAATGGTCTCCCTGGACCTATTGGCCCTGCTGGTGTGCGTGGCTCTCATGGTAGCCAAGGTCCTGCTGTGAGTATAGCCTTTTTTTGTTGTTGATCTAACACATTCATGTTACACTATAAATCTAGTAATTACATCACTTCAGAATCCTAGCAGTTTAATAATGCACCTGGCTTTATTTCTTAAAAAAAAGGTATTTAATATTAGGGAAATGTTTAATAGACATTAAACATTAACAAAGCTAAAAGGCTTTGTTCACTCCTTATGGCCAGAAGGAAAATACACAAAGGAAGTGTCGTAGTCCTGCACTGTGCATCTTCCACTGCTTCAACTCACTGCAGTCACCACAGGGCAATCCACGTGTGCTGCCTCCTATTAGAGCTGAGAGAGTTAACCAGGACTATACATACATAGAAGCATTTCATTAAAAGCACCATATCTCTAACAGAATGCTTTTTGTCTGCTGCCTTTGAAAACTTCAGGGTCCTCCTGGTCCTCCTGGTCCCCCCGGCCCCCCTGGCCCCAATGGTGGTGGATATGAAGTTGGCTTTGATGCAGAATACTACCGGGCTGATCAGCCTTCTCTCAGACCCAAGGATTATGAAGTTGATGCCACTCTGAAAACACTTAACAACCAAATTGAGACCCTGCTGACCCCAGAAGGCTCCAGAAAGAACCCAGCTCGCACCTGTCGTGACCTCAGACTTAGCCACCCAGAATGGAGCAGCGGTATGTTAGTGCCAGATGTTTGCTGTTTCTGGCTCAGGGAGCACATCCAGGGCATTAGCTTTCTTCAATGGAAGGTATTCTTGGCCATGTGGAAAACATACTAAACGACCAGTGAAACAGTTCTTTCTGTCTCCAATGAAAATAGATACAGTTACATCCTGGAAAGCTCTTTGTATATATTGTTGTACATTATTGCAATAATTTTCCAAAGTAATACAAAAATATTTAACCCTTGCTTTCAAGTACAGTTTCTTATACATTAATAATCCAAAATATCTGTATCCCACTTATCACCTTAATATTGCACTAGCTGTGATATTTATGGCCTGAGTTCCTATATCAGACAAGTGAATATGAACTGAATGCAAAGTTTATGCTGAGTGAACCACTGTTCACATTTCTTCCCTCAATGACAGGCTTCTACTGGATTGATCCCAACCAAGGCTGCACTGCAGATGCCATTAGAGCATACTGTGATTTTTCCAATGGTGAGACTTGCATCTATGCCAACCCTGACAATATTCCTGCTAAGAACTGGTATATCAACAAGAATCCCAAGGACAAGAAGCAGCACATTTGGTTTGGTGAAACACTCAATGGTGGTAGCCAGGTAAGTGATGTATGGCAGGGTGATTGTTTCCTACAGCACTGTCTGAAGAGTTCCCAATTCACTGACTCTCAGGAAGCAAGCAGATAAATTAAATTCTTTGGGGGAGGAAAAAGCTACCTTTTATCTCAAGGGTATACAGTTCTGATTCTAGTTTAGATCAGTTTGTTAAAAGTACTTCTCAGTATTGTTCTAACTTTTCTTGATATCTGCAAAGGACCAATTCAGCCTGACTAGTGGTCATTGCAAAGGGAAGCCTGGACTATAATATGGTTCATATAAAGATAGTCCAGAAAAATGTCTGAAAAAATAAGAAAAACATCAGTCTTTTGAATTGATATTTAGAATTGTTGGTGCTAGTAAAACCAAGAACTACTAGTTGCATGTTAGACACTGTCCCAGAAAATTGCAAATACATCACTTTTGTACAGCTAAGGAGATTAATTACATCATTCTTAAATAAAATTGAGTTGATATTGTGATGAAGCATCTAAGGTGAGATATAATCACATTGGATCAGAGCAGTTGAGATATAATCACATTGGATCAGAGCAGTCTAGGGTCCTGTTTCTTAGAGTGGCTAAAAGTAGATGCTGTAAAAAGAATATGAGAGTGAAGAAAACATTTGTACTACAGACTATTACATTAAAAAAAATTTCAAAATTCTATCAAAAAATGTTTCACAGTTTTATTGAGACAGGGATTGTTTGTGTGTAGCTGTGGAAACAGTAGATTGTCTTCCTTGAGCATATCTGATCTTGTCTCTGAATCCATATAAACTGTTAACACCGTATCTTGGAACAGAACTCTACTGCATGTTTAACTACATCCACTCATGTCTGGTTGTCAGTGTACCTCCTTCTACTTCTGTTTTATGATCTTTACTTCTGGAGTGGCAATGGAAAAGTGATTGCAGACTTTTGATACTTTTTTGCAAAGTTCCTGGCTGTCATGGTTTAAACTCAGATAGAAATTAGGTACCACTGCCACTTGCCCAACTCCCTCTCCCTTCTCCCCAGTTCACCCCCATAGAAGGGTGAGGTATCAAAGTATCAAAGTAAAACTGGCATGCTGAGATAAAAACAGTGTAATAATTGAAAATAAAATACAGTAACAATGGTAAATAATAATGATAATGAAAAGGAAAACAATAAGTGATGCACAATGACATTGCTGCTGACTGGTACCAGACCCGCCTTCTTCCTGAACCCAGATTGGCCGCACATTTAGGTTACTTCATCCCAGTTTATATACTGGGCATGATTTTTTATGGTGTTTGGTCAACCTAGGTCATCTGTCACAGCTTTGCTCCCTCCCAGTTTCTTTTGCACACCTCCTCACTGGCAGAGCATGAGCCACAAAAGAAAAAAGAGTCCTTGACTTAGGGTAATCATGACTTAGCAAAATCCAAAACATCAGTGTGCTTTCAACACCATTCTCATTCCAAATCCAAAACACAGCACTGTATCAACAACTGAGAAGAAATTCACTCTACCCTAGCTGAAACCAGGAGCCTAGAGCAGCTATCACACATTTTTATTACGAACATCCTCCTTTCCCCAGCAATACAACTGACTGGGTTCCTTTCTGTTTTTCAGTTTGAATACAACAGTGAAGGAGTGACCTCAAAGGATATGGCCACCCAACTCGCCTTCATGCGTCTGCTGGCCAACCATGCCTCCCAGAACATCACCTACCACTGCAAGAACAGCATTGCCTACATGGATGCAGAAACTGGCAACCTTAAAAAGGCTGTTGTGCTGCAGGGATCCAACGATGTTGAACTACGAGCTGAAGGCAACAGCAGATTCACCTTCAGTGTTCTCGAGGATGGCTGCTCTGTAAGTAATGCAGAAACCACAGGCATGGTGACTGCCCTGGCCTAAGCATGTGATTAGGGATAGAGTTGTGCTTCAATTAAGAATTAGATTATTGGGAAAACCAGCAAAATTTTACTGGTGAAGATACATAGCCTACAAACCCGACCATAGCAGATCCTTAACATGTGGGAAGGAAGAGGTTACAAACACATCCTATGTTGTACTGTACAAAACACTGGCCAAAAAAATGGTTTTCAGAGGGACTAGATCCAAATTCTATGTAAACAGAAGATTGCTAAGAAAACAGTGCACAAGCTATGGGAGGGGCAGGATCTCTTAAGTCCTGAAACAATCAGGCAGGATTCTCTTAGGATCTAACATCCATGTGACTAATATGGTAGCTTGCATATGGCATCACATAGGACTACAGAAGATTCAAGTAAATATTTTCTCTGTATTGGAGATCTAAGTAGTTGGATATGGGTATCTTATTTGCAAATAATAGAAGCAAAATTCATATTAAATTATTTCAGAAGTTATTCATTCAGATGAAACAATTCTTAATACTGTGAACAATGCAATAACAATTGCAATCAATCTTCTCTTACAGAGAAAGAACAACGAATGGGGCAAAACAATCATTGAATACAGAACAAATAAGCCATCCCGCTTGCCCATTCTTGACATTGCACCTTTGGATATTGGCGGCGCTGACCAAGAATTCGGTTTGGACATTGGCCCAGTCTGTTTTAAATGAATGAACTAAAATTAACTTAAAGCCTCTCCCAAATTATTCTCTTGTCATTTCTTTTTATAATGAAAGCTGACTCCTTCCATTTCTTCTGTTCATCTACTTGCTTAAACTCTGGGCGAAAGAGAAGGAGAAGAATTGATTGGAGCATTGTGCAATGAAATTTAATACAGCCCCAAATGGACTTGGAAGTCTTTCAAGATTTAACACCTTGTTTTGGGAAATGTCAACCTTTGTAAAGAAAAAAAAAGCAAAATAAAAAGTCATGAAAGTTTGCACCACTTGTGGCCTTTGAATATCTTCCACAGAGGAAGTTTAAATCCATGACTTCCAAAGGTTTAAACTACCTCATACACTAAATCAAGAGTGATCCACATCTTTTGTAGGAACTTCTCCCTGTGATCTGAGGTACTTCAGTTCCACTCAAAGTACAGTGGTGCTAATTACATAATTACAAAGTATCTTTCCAATACTTGAACTTTGATGGTGCTAGTAGCATTTAAAGTATTGCTTCTCTGTTTCTTTGAAGTCTGTCTTAAAATTTAGGATGTCCTGTCTCACCCACAGCTTAAGCATGTGGATAATTTTTCTTCTTCTTCTATGTCTTCCTCCAAAATCAGGTGTTCCTGCTTTCAAATTTCATTTCCATCTTCTACTATGGGTAAAAAAAAATCATCATTTCTCAAAAAAAGAAAGAAAATGTATTTTGTATATGTGAGATGTTTAAATAAATTGTGAAAAAAAAATGAAATAAAGCATGTCCAGTGTTCCAAAAGAAACTATTTAATGAATTACTTGCTTAGATGCATAGGTGATTCTCAAACCCAGATCTTACAATACTGTTAGCATGTTGCTATAAAACATTTTTTTAAAGCCTCAAAAGATTGCATACAACTCTCTCGAGGGTGTGACTGTCTACTTGACTGCAACACTAACTTTTGAAAAGTTCTAAGAAACTCATACAGTAACTCTGTGCCTCATAGTATGAGAAGTTCAGAAGCAGAAATAATTCCTTCCTTTTTTCCAAATACTAAGTAGGATTAATGTCTGCAAGAAGGATCATCATCTCACTTAAAGGTGGAAGGGAAATGAAGGTTTTGTCTTTCACGTGAGGATGGAAAGCTCCTGGCTGTTGATAGAGCTGTGCTGGCTGATGCTGTGCTGTAATGAGCAAAACTGGGCCTGTGCACTTTAGAAAGAATGTCCAGAAGCCAAGAATCTCAAATTTAGTTGTTTTGTCAGGAAGGTCAGTGTTTGGTAGGCCCTTGGAGTTTATTCAGTTGTGTATGGGATGCTTTTTCTAACATTAATAATTTTCTGTCACAAAAAACACAATGAGAAGCAAAGCCTTCTCAGACCTTTTAGAAGACTGCTGAAAACCCTAAATAAACTGTAATTCCAACAGCCATGTTTTTGTGATGAGGAAGGTGCTTGAGAGAACCCACAGAGGACCATGAAGACAACAGCAAAAGCATGTAAGGCAAGAGGTGAGATGGCCAGCCAGAACCCCCAAAGAGAGGCATGAAGAAAATATCCAGAATGAAGTCCCCTGAAGAAAGCACCACTCCAAAGATTAGCAGCTGTCTGAAGGCAGCTCCCAATGGTGCAAGGGGGAATAAGCACTAAAATCTGTTTCTGAAGACTTTTTTGTTGTTGTCATTCTTGCTTGCAATGAACTGATTAAAGAAAATAAGGCAAATACCAAAACATGATCTTAAGTGCAGCTGCTATATTCCTGCAGCTGTGTGTTGAATGAGTAAAATGGGAATTTCCATGATGAAATATAGCCCATTTTTTCTTCACTGAGTAAAACATACTGTAGATAAATACCTGCATATTTTCATTGGACCATGATGGTTCTTAAAATATTTTTATTTTAAGCATTTTTTTATCATTTCAAAATAAGTTTGTAGTTCTAAAAAGAGTAATTCAATATTTGAAAACAGTAAAGACTTTACTCGTATGGATTAACTACAAGACAGGAAGTTCCTACATGGACCGAAAAGCTAAAATTTTGTCCCTCAGGTTATGCAATTCACTATAAAGTATGAAAAGGTTATTGCTAGGATAGGGAGGTGGCCCTTTGTTGCCTGGGGAGAAAAAAAAACCAAACCACAGTTAAAGGAGCACTTGAGTTTAGAAGGGAAACTACACCTAGCAAACACTGTCTCCTTTTGTCATCTTCTGATTTCTCCTTTGCTCTCTGTGTTCTATTCCATGGCATGTCCTCCTAGGCAGAAAACACTTTCTATCAGCTCACTGACAACATCCAAATTATGTGTTTCAGATCTTTGCCCCAAAGGCAGCCTCATTTGGAAATTAAACCTGGTAAAATATATAGTGTCTACCTCACAAATTCCAGCCTCATTAGCACTGGAAAGATATTCAGTCTTACTTGCAGGTTTTCAGCTTATCAGAATTTACTGCGTGATCAAGTATTTTACTTATGCTATGTATGATATTGAAGAAACTATTTTTCAAAGGTCATAGCCAAAAATAAAAGATAAATGGCAGACAGGGCAGAGAGCCTTAATATTGTCTAGTTTTGGGAATATAAGACATTGAATATACTTCTGGTAAAGTGATCTTAATTATTTTTGGGAGTGCTCTGACCTCCCTATAAATGTTAACTTTGGAGAATTTCAATATCAATATATCTAGAGTATTATCATAAATTAGCTAAAACAATAGATTAAAGTTTACATTTGTAACAAGAATCTTGGAAGGAAAGGAAAACAGCTGGAGTAACTGGGTGAAAGGCAAAGTTTGTAGCAAGCCCTGGCTGTGCCAGTGGGAACAGAATTGCTGGAGAAGCTCTGTAAAGCCGGGTGGAGAGACAGCTGACGTGTAGTGCTCGGTTGTGATACAATTGTGCAAACCAAAGTACTGCAGCATTCAGACCATTTTCCTCCCTGGAATCTGTGTGACTGATGACCCTCACCTGTGTGATTAATAAATAGCTTCTATCAGCTTTTCTTACACCGTCCCCCCAGGAGATGGACAGAGATGAAAAGGCTCCTGTCAGTATGTACTTCAAATTGTATCTAAACTGACTTCTGATGTCTCTAGTACAAATATTTCTTTTTGTATCCATGCAGTTTCCTGTTGCAGCAGGCTCAGCTGGCAGCACATTGGGCTCTCTGTAGCATGTGCTTTTGCATTAATATGGACTAAGTGAGTAAAAACTAGAGGCAAGGAGAACACCAATGGGACCGACATGGAGCAAAAAGAAACTCAAACCATGTAGCACAGCTCTAGAAGGGCATTTGTAACTGTGCAGCCCCATAGGGAGAAACACTAGCCACTGCCAATTATCTTCAGGATCTGAGTTTGTCAGTCTAAAATATGAATACTGTGCTACAGAGAAATATCTTTTAATACAGGCGAGTGACAAAACATTAACAGACAACATATCTACACTTCCACCACTCAGGTTTAAGCTGAAGCTTTTGACATGACTTTTGATTAGTTTTCTTGTTGTGGTTTCAGACAGGATCTCCTAGAATCTGCCTCTCTACTACCCTCTTGATGCAGTGTTTTACAGTGTTAGAATCATGTATCCAATTCCAATGAGCAAGCTTAAACAAAGCTATTAGACATGCAAACAGAAGTAACCCACTAATTCATTTAGCGTTACTTGTGCCTCATTCTGAGCTCATTAGAAATACACTATTTTTTATAGGACTCTCCCATGAATCTCAGATGCATAATAAATGCAATCTAGAGTGTCTAAACAAAGAAATTACTGTATGTTTATATTTTAAGGCTGGAATTTATTTGTCCTTTCCAGGAAAACATGTGGTTGGATATTACAGGAGAAAAATTTCCTACACATGAATCCATGCTTACGTACACAGTCCAACTACTCGGGAAATTATGTTTCTCATTAAGGCAAATACAACTATCAAAACAAACAAAACACATAATTTGAATATTATTTTGAACACAAGCATTTGAAATGCATATAATAAATATATGCATATAATAAATATATACATATAATAAATTCCAATAATTATCAATGTTTTACTATGTTCAAGCTACAGAAATTAGACCTTCAGGTGAAATGAAACTTTTTCCAAATACCAATTCTGAAGACACAGTGAAACAGCAGAGCAGTTCTCCAACATTTTCATAGCTGTTGTGCACCACCTACTGACTCACACACTAATTACCAGCCCCTGAAGGCTGTTGTGCACCACCTACTGACTCACACACTAATTACCAGCCCCTGAAGGCTTTTCCTAGGGCTTTTATTCCCGAATTCACTGTCATTTAAAGTTACAAAATGTTCTGAGTTGGAAGGGATTTTCAAGGATCATCTAGTCCAACTCTTAAGTAAATGGCCCATAGAGGTATCAAACCCACAACTGTGGTGTTATTAGCACCATGCTCTAAGCAACTGAGCTAATCTCAGGGTTGTTGCTGTCAAAATCTCCTGTGCCAAGACTATCCTATAGGCTATTTCTTCAAAATGTCAGCATCAGAACTCACCCTAAATGTGCAGTAACATATGAGAACACTCATCCAAACAGGAAAGCTCTTGGCTGCAAACTGCAGGCTCACTCAGAGCACAAAAATAAAGGACAATAATTAGATTTACTCCTTTAGTTGTCAGGTTCTATGACTCTGAAATTATCTTCTCTATGTATGTGATGTAAAGGGGTTTTCTTCATTACATCCTTCCTCCATAATGACTGTAAGTTTTTCTGGGCAATTTTATCCAAAGGATTTACCACTACATTTTGGTTAAGGTATTTAACATCTCAAGGTGTAAGTCTCTGCTCCCAATATATCCCACTATATTCTCTACAACAGTGCCTAGAATGTGTGACAAGAGGAATCACCCAAACATAGCCTGACTTAATTTGGGAAAAATGTTTTTCGTTACTGTTTCTAGTTAATAATGAGCTACCTTCTCATTTATTTTCATCTTTCAGCATTTAACAGGGAGTAAGACTAATTCCTCCATTCAAAAGAACATCCACTGCTATTATGGCTGTCTGTACCTGCCTCTACACCACATTTGCTTTCCCACAGTCACTTAAAATTCCAATTCCTACAGAAGCTTACAATAGCCAAAATTATTGGTTCCTCAGATTCTGCACTGAGATCCAAAGGACATTTGCTTATTCTTCTCAGAAAGAGCAAAGAGAACAAACCACATCTGTGAAGAGCACCTGCCTCACAGTAGACAAAGACTAGAAAATACAGTTTTACTTCATTCCTCTCCTCTACTTTAATTCTCATATAGATACAAGAGATGCATATAGGTACAACAGATACAGACAGATAAAAGAAGTCCTTTGAACATTTTCATATGTGATTCTGGAGTACAGTTTTAAATACTTTATTTCATGTAGTTCCTGTAACCTTAGAAACTACTCTTTTCGTTAGTGGTCTCCAATTTTCTGGAGATTAAGAGTTAAGGTTAAGAATTAGACCTGTGCAAGATGAGCTGGTGGTTTTTGCCTACAGATGACAGTGTCCTTGTACTCGCTGCAGGTGAGAGGAACCCACATTTCATCTCCCTCCTCCAGTGCTGGGATGCCCTCAGCTGCTTAGGGAGAATGAGCACTTCGACTCTCCTGGTGATTCAGGAACTACATTCCTAACCCCCATTGACCACCCTCCCACAAGTTAACCATTAAATATGTATTCTGACAAGCACACCCAAGAGTAAAAAATGCTGTTTCTAACACCCTGGTCGTGTTTAAGGCAATGTTTCTCTGGCCCTATATACAATGATATTACCATC